CTCTGTCTGTCTCTGTCTGTCTCTATCTATCTCTGCCTGTCTCTGTATGTCTCTGTGTGCCTCTGTCTGTCTCTGTCAGTCTCTGTCTGTCTCTGTCTGCCTCGGTGTGGCTCTGTGTGCCTGCGTCTGCCTCGGTCAGTCTCTGTCTGCCTCTGTCTGTCTCTGTCTGCCTCTGTCTGTCTCTGTCTGTCTCTGTCTGTCTCTGTCTGTCTCTGTCTGTCTCTGGCTGTCTCTGTCTGTCTCTGTCTGTCTCTGCCTGTCGCTGCCTGTCTGTGTGTCTTTGTCTGTGTGTGTCTTTGTGTGTCTGTGTGTGTCTGTGTGTGTCTGTGTGTGTCTGTGTGTCTGTGTGTGTCTGTGTGTGTTTTTGTGTGTCTGTGTGTGTCTGTGTGCGTGTCTGTGTATGTCTGTGTGTCTGTGTGTGCCTGTGTGTGCCTGTGTGTGTGTGTGTCTGTGTGTGTCTATGTGTGTCTGTGTGTGTGTGTCTGTGTGTGTCTGTCTGTGTGTGTTTGTATGTGTGTGTCTATGTGTGTCGGTGTGTGTGTGTGTCTGTGCATGTCTGTGTGTTTGTGTGCGTGTGTGCGTGCGTGCGTGCGTGCGTGCGTGCGTGTGGGTGGGTGGGTGTGTGTGTGTGTGCGTGTGGGTGTGTGTGTATGAACGCGGTTGCGCCGCGGGTGGGAAGAAAACATCAACCCTACGAAACATGTGGGGAATAACTTCTTGGGCACCCTTGGGAGCAAAGTCAGCCGTCATGTGAGCATTTTGGGCCGTATTGGAGCAGTCGTGGGTCGTCTTAGAGGCCTCCTGGACTGTCCTTGAGGTTTTCCGGGCTCACTGAGACCGTGTCCGAGCGTTTTGTTGCCGCCTCGGAGGTGACCAAAATCCCCGCCACTGGCATGGAGATTTGGTGTCCGCCCTCAGGGCCCCCGGCCTTACACCCCTGGCCGAGAGGAAGAAGAGAGAGAGAAAGAGAAGAACAACAAAACAACAACAACAACAACAACAACAACAACAACAACAACAACAACAACAACAACAACAAGCAACAACAACAAAACAGCAACAACAATAACAACAACAATAACACCAACAACAACAATAACAACAACAACCACAACCAAAACAACAACAGTCACAAACACAACCACAACAACAACAACCACAACCACAACAACAATCACAACAACAACAATGACAACGACAACAACAACAACAACCATAACCACAACAACAACCAGAGCAGCAACAATAACAACAGCAGCAACAACCACCACCACCACCACAACAACAACGATCATGTTAAGACTGTTCGCTCTCATCTGCTCGAGGTGGCATCCAACGTGTATTCCCCGAACCCTCGCGATACCCACCCTTTTCGTCTTCAGTCGTGCCCCTTGGGATGGTATATATGTCTTGCAAGCAGGGCCCTGGCAAGCGGCGGGGGGGCCGCGGACCGTCGGCCTGGCCAGCGGCAGCGCTGATCGGCGGCAGCCCGACCCCAAGAGGGACGGACAGGGAACCGACCACGACGACGACGACAAGGCGACGACGACGACGGCGATGACGACGAATACGACGACGACGAAGACGACGACGACGACGAGCAAAAGCAAGAGCGAGAGCGAAAGCGACAGCGACAGCGGGGCCACGAAGGGCAGGAAGGGGGCCACGAAGGGCGCCAGCTGGGCCACGAAGGGCATGCGTGTGGGGCCACGAGGGGCGCGAATGAGCGGGGGCCACGACGGGCAGATAATGCGGGGCCACTGAGGGCAACGACGGGGCCAATGAGGTTGCAACGGGGCCCCGTAGGAGAGCGAGGGGGCCAAAGTGCGACAGCTGGGCCACGAAGGGCATGCATATGGGGCCACGACGGGCGCGAACGAGCGGGGGTCACGAAGGGCAGCAGCGGGGCCACCAGGCGCATGCATATGGGGCCACGACGGGCGCGAACGAACGGGGGCCACGAAGAGCATATAGGTATGGGGCCACGAAGGGCAGCGAGGGGGCCACGAAGGGTTACAACGGGGCCACGAATGGCAGCGAAGGGACCACGAAGGGCTGCAACGGGGCCACGAAGGAAAGCGAGGGGACCACGAAGGACTGCAATGGGTCCACGAAGGGCAGCGAGGGGGCCACGAAGGGCTGCAACGGGGCCACGAAGGGCAGCGAAATCCCGATTCCTGGGGAAGCTGGGAGGGAGTCGTAAGCGTGAGCGCGACTCCTGGGTGCCTGAGTGTCGGGAGCGCGTCGCTGGAGTACATTGCAAGAAATTCCAACGCAACAGCACAATTCTTGAATAAATTGCCAGCAAGTCCCCAACGAGAGCGCGATTCCAAAGCGCCGGGAAAGCGATACGTGCATAAATCGTGAGGAAGTTCCCAGCGAGAGCGCGATTCCTGATTAAAACGCTAAGATATCTCAGCTGGGAGCGGGGGCCCTGGCTAAATCGTCAGGAAGTTTTAGGCGGGAACCGTCGTTGTTGCAATCCGGGGGCCAACAGCCCAATTTGAACGCCGTGACCTTCACTAATAAAAACATGGTGCGAGCCTGGGCGAAGCACTTCAATTTTAAATATAAAAACAAAAAACGCAACGGTCACCAGAGGGGTGGTCATCAACAGCAAGTATTCTTAATAGTGAGAATTCAACAGCCACAACAACCACAACATCAACAACCATTTTAAGACCGTTCGCTCTTATCTGCTCGCGCGTCATTCAATATGCATTTCCCAAACCCTGGACACCCGGCCACTTCGTCTTCGATCGCACCCCCTTCCGGTGGGGATATCCACTCCCTGCCACGCGTGGTTGGCGAAGCCCTTGAAAACGAAGGGTAACATATAACGGTGGGAATGAGGACGAAGGAATCGGAGGAAGGGAGGGGGGGGCTAGAAGGAGGGAGGACGATGATTTGCGCTGCGAGTGGCCATTCAGATTGCGCCATGGCTTGCGCAAGCCACTCCAACACAGGTTAACAATAAGTTTCGCCATGGGTCGCGCCATGAACAGCGCCACGTACCATCCCCTTGAAAGAACAGATCATGGATACCCCACGGGGGACGTACAGCTGCGAACTGGTGTCAGAAAAAAATGTCGTGGAACCCTGAAAAGAAGCGGGATGTTGGGAGAGCGGGGCGGAAGGATAGTGAGAACTGCAACCGTGTCAAGAGGAGCGCGGGGATGTGGAGTGGATTGGGATGGAGTGGACAAGAGTAGGGTCTCAGGAGGAGGAGCGGCAAAGAGTGGAAAGGAGCAACCGGGAGGAGTGCGGAGGAGCGGGGGGCGCACGGAGGAATCTGGAGGATGGGCTGGGAATAATTTGGGAGAAATGCGGAATGCGGCCACTGAGGGCAGCAAACGGGCCACGAAGGGCAGCGAGAGGGCCACGAAGGGCGACAGCGGGGCTACGAAGGGCATGCGTATGGGGCCACGACGGGCAACTGCGATCGGGGGTCCACGAATGGCATATAATGCGGGGCCACAATGGCCAGCGACGGGGCCACTGATGGCAGCAACGGGGCCACGAAGGGCAGCGAGCGAAGGCGACCGCGGACCAAGTACGGGCAGCGAGGGGCATCGAAGGCGGGCGAAGGGCAGCGAGCGGCGACTGCAGTCCCTGACGGGCGGGTCGGACGGGCAGGCCCAGACGGGCGGGTCGAGCGGGCGGGTCCTTGAAGCGTAAATTCTGCTTGAACCGCCAAGCAATATGTAGCGGGAGCGCGATTCCTGAATGTCGAGGAGCGGCATCGTAATAAGTTGTAAGGACGTATCAGGCGGGAGCCGCGATTCGGTGGTAAGTTGCGAAGAAGTCCCAAGCGAGAGCGCGATTCTTCGAAAAAATTGAATGAAGTATCAAGCGGGAGCCGCGATCTGGTGGCAAATTGCAAGGAAGTCCCAAGCGAGAGCGCGATTCTTCAATGAACTGTGAGGAAATATCAGGCGGGAGACGTTGTTGTTGTAAACCAGGGGCCAACTATACAGTTTGACCCTCAAGACTTTCCCTTATATATTTTTTAACAAAAAGAAAAAAGTGCGAGCCCCGGGAGGGGCACTTCAATCGAAAAAACAACGTGCACCGGACGGGGGGGATCAACAATAATTATTCTTCAGAAGTGAGAGTTCAACAACAACCATGTTAAGACTGTTCGTTTTTACTGGCACGCGTGTCTTGCATTCCGTATACCCCAACCCTCGATACCCGCCCAATTCGTCTTCAAGTGTACCCCCTTTCGGGGGGAATATCTTTCTTGTCGGCCACTGACTGAAGTGCGAAGAAGCCTCGAGCAAGAGCGCCGTTCCTGAATTCGGGGGCCTCTCTGGCCAGAAACTCTCGGAAGACCTATGGAGCCGTATCGAACGGGAGCCGTTGTCGCCGTGTCCGGGCCTCCACCAACTTGCTTGAATTACGGGAAAACCTCGAGCGAGAGCGCCGTTCCTGAGTTCGGGGGCCTTCTTGGCCAGGGGCTCTCGGAGTAAATCGTGAGGAGTATCGAGCAGGAGCCATTGTCGTCGTGGCTGGGCCTCCCTCCGCCAAATTCATTGCCTGAGTTCGAGGGCCTCTCTGGCCAGGGTGTCTCGGGGTAAACTGTGAGGAGGTATCGAGCGGGAGCCGTTGTTGTCGTAGCTGGGCCTCCAAGGGCCCACATTTAGGCTCAAGCTAACGCTCGAGCGGGAGCCTCGTTTTCAGAGAAAATGTAGCCGGCGTCGAGGCGAGAGCGCGCGGAACCGTTTCCAGAGATCAACAAGAGTTATTTAGAAATGAATATTAAATAACAAAAACAAAAAATCAAAAAGGAGAGAGAGAGAGAGAGGGAGAAGAAGAGACGGAGAGTGGACGGAGCGAGGGAGGGAGCTGGAGGGGAGGCAAGATTGACAGAGGAAGGAGGGAGGAGGGAGGGAGGAAGGAGGGAAGCAGGAGTGGGGCAGGGACAGAGGAAGAGAGGAGGGGGAGAGAGAGGAGGGAGGGAGGGGAAGGACTGGCAGGGCGGCGCCGGCGCGGAGCACCTGAGTGGCGGGCACGAGCATCTTCAGCGTGGTGGAGTCCGAACCCGCCTGAATGCGGGGGAGGCCCGCGCCGGTGCTGCCGCCACGGCCCCTGCTGCCGAGGCCGCCGCGAGGCGCTGCTGTCGGCCACCGGCGCCACGAGGGCAGGCGACCTCCCCCCACGAGTGGCCCGCTGCAGCAGGCGCCACCATAGAACTAGCTGAACAAACAATGCCACAAGCATCAACTTTCGGACCTCCGCGCGGACCTGTCGGATCGCCGCTGGTGCCCTTGGCGGCGCCTCTGGCGACGCCCCTGGCGCGCTCTCCGCGCGCCAGGGAGGGATATCCGTTGCCAATGCGAGAAATCCGCGCGGAGCTCCGAAAGCTTGTTTATGTCATTGTTTGTTCCCCGACACCACCACCACCACGCCGTCGGCGCTCGGGCCTGCCAACTGTTCGGGGGTCGCCAGGAGCGCTCCTGGCCCAAAGTGTCCCCGGCTTTGGGAGCCGTTCTGGAGCCTCTCGGGGTGGAAGGGGGAGGGGCGCCTCGCGAGGGGTCCTCCTGGGGCCGTCTGGGTCTCCCTGGAGATCCTAGAGACACCATGGCCCAGGGGCACCTTGGGCAACACCCGAACCTGAACATGAGGGGCAACGATACGGGGGGACTGGCATAGGCGGAGATGCATCGACCTGGAATCAGCGATACATCGTCGATAGATCGGCGATAGGCCCCCGACAGCGAAACCGCACCTTCTTCTTCTTTCGACAGAGCGTGGGCCATGGCCCGCCCGAAGAGTCAGGGATCTAAAGTCAGGAGGGAGACAGCGCAGTCACTAGCCACCGCAAGCCCGCCTCTAGTGCCAAGGCCTCGGCCTCGAACGCTGATGCGAGCCCTTGAATCGGCACCCCTTCTCTCCATACCGTGGTGTACTTGTACCGGCCTGTGTCCCCGTCCTCAGAGGCGCGGAAGACAGCGAAGCCAATGGCGCCTTCGCCGTTGCGCCGTAGGCCGCCGTCGGTACACAAACGCAGATTGCGCTTGCGCCTGGGCGGTTTGGGGATATCGGACCCCTATCGGCGATCAATGGGCGATTGGGGGTCGTTGCATCCCCCCCTATGCCTATCCCCCCTATCGTTACCCTTGAGAACGCCCGAACCCCAACAGCCCCCCGCCATCCTGCAAGCGGCTCCTGGACATCCCAACCGGCTGCCTCGCCCGATCCACCATCATCTGCCATCCTTCGGCTCAGGCTGCCGAGGGCTGGCGTTCAATCGTACACAAGGGCTGGCCCCCTAGAAATCCCGACCCTTTCCCCAGGGCTGGCTTGTCTTCCTGCATACTTTGTTGGCGGCTCCGTGGCCCGGTAAGGCCCCCTCGGACGCCGAAAACAGCCAACAACCTTCCGTCGATGAGTGTGTTACAAAGATAAAATCTGAGTCCCTCGAAGCCGACCCCGGACAGACCTGCCCTGAAGCACGCTGCGACTTCGGGCGGGCCCAACCGCGGCGGCCCCGTGCACGCCCCGAGGCCGCGAGAATAGGCCAAAGACATGAAACCTTCGTTCGTCCACCGCCGGGGTGCAACAAGTATAAGGATAGAGGGGGCGTCAAAATAGAGCTCTCACAACAGCCCCACGAGCATTCGTCTTGAACGCTTGTACCAGTTGCGAGAAAGTATTGGGAATGTTCAAGATGGAGTTCGAGTTCCCGTCTCAGCCCCACGCACATTTGTCTTAACAGCTTGCAGCAAGTCAAATGGTGAAGGGGGTCGTTTGCAAAACGGATCCATCGCTCCAGACCAGTGCACACTCGTACCTACGAGCTTGACATGGTTACACGGATGGAGGGCGGTTCCTGCTCCAACGGGGCTCTCGCCTCAGAACCGCCCACGTGCGTTTTCAAAGCTAGTAGTAACAAGTACGGGTGGCCTCCCCGCTCTTCCGTCTTCCTCCTCTCCTCCTCGGCCACACGGCGGGGGGGCGCGCCTGGTAGGACATCCGCATCACCATCTCCACGGCATTCACGCGGGAGCCGAGCTGCCCCTCGGCGGGCACTCGGGGGGCCGAGCAAGCAGGCGGCCTGCGACGCTGCTGCGCTCCGTCGTCGTCGTCGTCGTTTTCGTCTGCCTCCGTCCTTCCTCATCCTCCTGCGCACCACCTGGCGAGCGGCAGAGTCTGTCGCTCGTCAGCCACCTGACGCCGCACGTGGCCTAGGGCGCACCTTACAACCGCCGTAGGCCGCGTGCGCGGACAGAGAGTGCAGGCGTCCTCCCCACCCCTTCGGTCTGTACAAACCCCACGGCGGCCGCTGCTACAACCACGGCAGTGACCTTCATCCGCAATCGGGGGCAGGGGGACGCCCTGCTGCCTAGGGGATCAAACGATCCAACGACAAAACCCTTTACCATCGAGACGAAAGTCACGCTTGCTGGCCAGCCCGGTGAGAACCTTCCGCCCCCAATCCGTCGCCCGGGGAGGACAGGGAACAGCAAGGCTCGTGACACGAGCGACTGCAAACTAGCACAGCGCAGACATCCAGCCACAAGCGGACCGTCTTGCAGCTGAATCTTGGCAAGGGCATGCATTCTGGACCCCTCTCCAAGCTTCCTCTGAGCAGCTAACGCACGGCTCACCACATCGCTTGGAGGGGGTCCTTGACGAGGATGAGTTGAGGCGCTGGCGGCGTGCCTCGCTTGCGACGCTCGGGATGACCGTAGTCCTCCAAGCCCTCACCGAGACGCCCGACCCAAGAGCCCCACACTTTCACGACACTGCCTCGCGCCAGCAACTGCTCGCGCTCGCCAGAAGCAACACGAGCAAACGCAGCAGCACTCTTGGCTGCAAGGTCCGCCTTCAAGTTGCCATACCTATGGCGGGCCGTAGTGCGCCCACTACGGTCGCGTGACCTGTAACTTTAAAAATATCGAAACCATCACCCCAATCATCCACAAGACGCCAAAACTCCCTCCAGAGATGGGCGCATGCGACAACACAAGCAGCGGTGGCGTCACGGCCACGCTCATGCTAGCCGTCAACAACGAGGGCAGAATCAGCGAAGATGCGCACAGGCAGCGTCGCCAGACGCAAGACGTGAATGACTGCTATGATCTCCGCTGCATAGATACACTGGAGCGGACCAAGCACTGGCTCTGAACAGAACGCGTTGACCTGATTACGACCGGGATGAAGCGCAACGCACCCCCAGCCTGCACTCGCAAGACTCGGGACTCTGCTTCGAAAAGCGATCCGCCAGCATACACATCACCAGTGAAGCAATCGGGGCCACCAAGCCCCCAGCAGCCAGGCTGCCCAGGCGGCGGCCTCTCAAGCACAGGAAACGGCACGAGACGACGCTCCGCAAAGACGAGGGCCAGCGACGACTGCATCGCTGCCCGGGCAGCATTAGCTCTGAAGGCGGGCGCATCCTCAAGACTGTCTAGGCGCACACACGAGCAGTGCCTATGCAAAAGCTTGCCCTCAGCAGAGGGGCACAGAAAACAGGCGGGAGTGGCGTTGTAACCTTCAGCCGACGGACGCTTCTGAGGCTATTGGCCCCCAACAGAGGTGCTACGCAGGTGGCCTCTCTGCTGGGCCGCGAGCTTACTCTCGTTGCCAAGCAAGGCCTTCAGGGGGCTCAAGATTAAATCATTGTCGAACTCAGGCTGATCGAGCTGCCAGCGCTCAACAACCCGAAACAAAGGCTCCTGGATCGTGACGGGACAGCAGTCGGACGGGTTGCCGACGGCCCCATCAGGCCAAATCCAAGAGGAAGCCAAAATAGCAGTGATGCCCACACGTTTCCAGAAAGCCCTCAGAGCACAAAAAGGGCCCCTGATGGAGGACCAGGGCTGCTCCAGCCCAGGTGCCCGCGGGCCTGACGAAGGCCAAAATCCAAAGCATCCCTGGGGAGCCACGCATGCCACCAGGCATGAAGGAAGGCCTTGACGGGGAGCCACGCGGCCCTAAAGATGGGGTCCAAGCGGAACGGGGAACAGGAGAAGGGACAGCGTACGCGACTTGCCATCGAAATCATGGTCTTGCAACTTACCAGCCACGCCTCGAAGGACTTCCCGCCCCTTCCCATTCGCACCCATGACAGACGCTCCAAAAAAAACGAAGCCCCCAAAGATGTTCGACCCATGCGCCTAAGCACACGGCGACGAGGCTCGGAGCCCTTCAGAAAGCCCACCCGAACCAACCTCGGCCTCATGTCAGAAATACGCCCACAGACCGTGCCACGGCTGGCAACCAACCCCACACCGAAGTCAAAGCCGAGGTCGCGCTCGGACCAAACAGGAAGGGGCTGGAGGCTCCTCCACTTGCGGGCGATGAGATTCCTCACCACCGACGTATTCCCGAGGACTCTGGACTTGTCGAGCGCAATGCGCAGGTCGATCCTGCTCAAGCACTGGGAGAGCAGCTTGCCCGCCGCAAAAAATGTCGTCAATGACTCGCGACCGCCCCGGCGCGCGAGGCCGAAATCGTCGACATTGACCGACAACTGAACAGCCGGCCGCGCAGCCTGCAGCCGCAGCAATCAAGCGACGGTGCTGGACCAACCCGAACGCCTTCTTAAGATCTAAAAAAGGGTAGCACAAGACCTGGCCCTGCACGCGGAATACTCCGGCCAGGCCGCCTGGATCCAGACACACTTATCCGAAGACTTCCCGCGGGTGGACCAGAAAGGGAAGGGGAAAAAAAGGAACGAAAATTTGCCTGCTGCCAGGCTCTCACCAGAGGACGTCTCAAGCGACACTGCACGCGCGCCAACACATGCAGAAGGCCCAGGGGCCTGACCCCCCCCCCACACACACACACACCCAGCCCCTTTCAGAATGAAGACGGTGCGATTCCACATGACAGGCCATCCACGCTTATGCTCAACATGGTGAATGATATCACACAGCGCCTCAAGGGCAACCGTCGGCAGCAACAGAAACGAGCGAGGCTGAATATGATCGAAGACAGTGCCAGTGGTCGACTTGAAACCCTTGATCGCTGCGATAAGCTCGGCCACGGATGGCCGCGGAAGAGGGGCCCCAGGCTCAGGCCACTGGAGAGGAGGGTGGCTGACATCAACCTGCCACCATGTTTTCACTCAGCCTCAAGGTCATCGATCGACTCGATCGAGGTGCAGGGCCGAAGGGCCCATTGATGACAAGAATCGGGCTGCCACGGGATAGGGAGGTTCGATAACTTATACAACGCAGACATACCCCCCCCCCCGAGGTGTGCGAGTCAACCCATGCGTTCCATTCCTTCTGCTTGGCCTGAGCGCAGACGGCGCGCACCCCCTTGGCCTCGCCGTCGACCACCTCAGCCAGGCAGGCAGCGCTCAGCGAAGGAAGAAAAAGAACTTGCCTGGGCATCGCCGTCCACGCGGCGAAGTCGGCCGCGCCAGGCACCCGATGAAACCGAGCAAGACGCCCCGCGGCAGCGACAAGCTGGGACCTGAAAGAGCCTGACGGCTCACGGCTGATGTCAGCCAGCACATTGCGCACCTTGCGCCACCAGCAGGCGAGCGGAGACTTAGGGGACCTCGGAGGCGCTGGTTTGGAAAGGGGGCTTTCTACAGCATACGGAGAGGTTAATCCCTGCCCACAAAGTCAGCACACTGCTCTCCCGAAATCTGAAGGACAGCGGGTCTTGGCGGCCCTCAGAAAGGCATCCCATTTATCCTGAATCAACAGGTCGGGGTCACAACATGATTGCCCAACGTGCTCCCACAGATCCACCTGCGGAGGAGGTCCAAGGCAGCCAATGGGCAGCTGGGTGGGGAGCTTCTCAGGGACCTTCACATACCTCACCTTGCACAGGGGTTCGACCGACGGGGCGACAAGCTTGACAGGGAGGTGAGGAGAGATGGGAACATTGCGCAACACTTCAGCTCTGCCCTGACCTGCAATGCTGCGCGAGACAACGAAAAAAATCAATGCACCTCCTGGCTGGCCCGCAAGTAGCATGCTCAGGTGCAACCACCACCGCGCCCATGGAATCCACCCAGGACGTGTTCTCCAGGTCATGGACCGTGAAGATCCAGTCACCACCGATGATGAACGGGAGCCCAGCAGGTCTTCAATCGAGCACCCACTTTGGACAAGATAGACCTATTCTGCTCGTTGGCGCCGATCGACTGCACGAGGTACAAGTTGGCAACCAGGAAGCCGCATTCGATCACGCCGTCGACGTGGTGCATGGACGCTCGAGCAGGAACAGCTTCCACATCATAGTGAGCCAATGGCGCAAGACCGACACGCTTCACACTAGCCGTTACCACGCCCCCTGAAGGATTGCCAAGCATAGGAGTGACAGCACACGTAGATGCAGACCAGCCAGCACTGCGCATCTGGGCCTCCAAGGAGCAGGAAGCCGACTTGAGCAAACGAGACTCCTGCAACAGCAGGACATCACTGTAAATAGACTCCGACAAATACGCGGCCGAGTCAATATGCCCTCCAACGCTGGCTGCGGTGACCGACCACTCCTTGCGCTGGCGGCTAGGAGCACGGAGCCACTGGCGCAGGGTCAAAGGGCGCGAGCTTAAACTTCTTGCTGGCAGCGCGATTGACGCCGCCAGTGCTGTTGTCACACTGGTACCGTGTGAGCCCCCGCGCTGCGAGGAACTTGCCCAGGCCCTCATCAGAGGTGAGGTGCTGCAACAAACATGAGAACTTGCTAGCAACGTGCTCAACGCCTTCGGTACTCTGCGAATCCCGCCCCGCCCGTCCCGAGCCCCCCCCCCCCACTAGGATCGAGCGTGACAGGCGCAGCCCCTTCCGCGAAGGGGGAAGCGAGAAAGGAGGCTGCAGCACGCGCACCATCGCCAAAGACGGCGTGCGCTGCTGCCTCCACGGTGAAAACAGGCTCCGGCTCAGGGGTGTCGACCATGTGGAGCTCATCTTCGTCCCCGTTTACATCATCACTGGGCTCATTACTAGCAGGCTGAAGAAGACCGTTACAAGTGGCCATGAGCGAGCGCAGCGATGCCGCCAGCTTCGCAGATAGGGACTCGAACTGCATGAGCAGCACAAAGCCAGGGTCGT